ACGAAAGTCACGTGTATTTGGGAAACTGCATTATATCCCAGGACCCTGGCCTTGTAGTGCTTGGATGACGAAAGTCACGTGTATTTGGGAAACTGTCTTATATCCCAGGACCCTGGCCTTGTAGCACTGCTGGGTGGTAATTCCAGGTGTGGAGGTGTGTTGGCAGCGGCCCCTTTATCGGAATCCGGAGCGCTGGTGCAGTTGTAGCCTTCCACATCAACACGGCTTCATTTGACGTCATCTGCTCGGCGTTAGGGGACCTTCTGAAGCACTGGCAGGCGGCAGGGGCTGCAGAGTCCCAGCTTCCGCATCTGCTCCCTGTGTCCTCAGACGGACTGCTTAGCATCTGCCCACTTCTCTTCTGTAAAGTAAGAGTAGAAGTGTAACCTGACAGGATCCAGTGAAATGAGCTGCTGGGCGGAGACCCTTACACCTAACAGTCTCTTAGTGGGTGGGTGCTGTTACTGGTTCTGCCCCTAAGTACGTATAAATTATACAGTGAGACCATTGCTGATGCTTATCAACAGCTAAACTGATGATCTTGTTAACTGTGTATTATCAAGTATCAGTGGTCATTAGGAGTTGACCCTACCTAATAGATCAGGTACGCACTTATCCAAAAGGTTACTTATTACTCACGGTCTCGCTCTTTGTCATAACAGAGTTATTTTGTAAAGTTTAAATACTTAAAGCAGCATATGTTAGAAGATCTTTTTGCTGAACAAGATTTGTGTTGATGATGTTTATAACAGTTTAATCTGCAACACAGACAGTACCTTTACCTTGATATCAGATACTTCACTAAGCTGAATGCACAAGCAGATTTCTAAATTACTGATTTATACCAAAAACCAAAACCTGTTCCTTGTCAAGTCATGCCCGGCTCATGGCTGCCCAAATGTTGAGCTGTGGTAGTCAACCAGCAAGTGAGACCTGGGGGATTTGTTGCGTTGGTGGCGTACTGATCATTTTCTGTGTTTGTTTCTGAAGCCGAGCTGTGCGTTTCCGGTTTGCCATGACACAGAAGAGCGCTGTAGGCTGGTTCTCAGCTACGTTCTGGAGGTGAGTTCAATTTCAGTCTTCGCTTCCTCACTAAAATTTGGACTTGATGTGCAAATAGCACTCACTTGGCAGTGTCTGAATGTTATTCTGGATGCTGTTCTGCTGTGATATATTTTTTCTTTAAATTTAAAATGGAAAGCTAATTAGTTTTTCCCAAACCTTTAAGATCAAACTTTGTTTTTAAAGTTTGTTTTCAAAATCTAAGGATTCCTCGATTTATTCGGTGTATAGCTGGGATACTGCCTTCTACTTAGTCCTCAGCTGAACTTTGGTAAGTGTGTTTCCTTTTTTAAGGGTTTGAAATCTGTGGATAACAGCATCAAAAAAGAAAGCGACCTTCCCGCAGCAGACCCCAACACCCCGATTCCACTAAAATACGAAGATGAATCCAGCCGGGGGGGTCCTGAGGGCCTGGAGAAGCAGATGGCCTTGTTTCTGGACAAAAGTGAGTTGAGTTGATGTGCCTTTCAATAGAATAATATACGGGTACTATCAACAACAGACATATCAATTAAGGCACTCATTGAAAGGAGTTTAGAAAAAGAATGTCATGTGAATGAGAAGTAGGGGAAAATATCCCTTCATTTCAAATATAAAACAGAGCAGGATAATCGCAATCCTTTATAGAGATTTCTAACAGAAACGTAAGAACCCTGACTGTCCCGGTTACCCACTGTGAGGACCTCCTCCAGCCTGGTAGGGTTCTCTGAGGGGGCCGCTGCTGCGGTAAGAGCTGGGGAGTGTTTCAGACCGTGGACTCAGGAGCCAGACTGCCCAGCTTTGATCCTTGTCTTTGCTCAGGCCAAGTTGTTCCCCCTTTGTGAGCCTTGTTTTCTGTCTCTCAAATTGGAGGCAGTAATAGTACCTACTTTTAAGAGTTGTTATAAGGACTAAGTGAGGTAATATATGTGAACTGCTTGTAACAGTAGACACAGTAAACTCCATAGATGCTTGTTAGCCGCTGTCACCTGAGAGGGCAGGGACATACTTGGGATGCCATTTATGAATCATGCAGTTTGTTCTTCTGGAACATCACTTCGTGAAGAACATGTGGACTTTGAAGTAAAAGTCTTGAATTCCTTGTTTATTTAATTCTAAGTTGTATTTGTTTTTCCAACCTTATTCCCTCCCCGCTACCCCCTTCAAATCGATTTCAGTTGTTTAAAAAAACATTTTGTAAGCCTCTGTGTTTGAAATAATACCAAGTGCTCTCTGGACCTTTTTTATCTTTTTCATAAACAGAAGTAGTTGGGGTGGGTAGAGAGATTGATTTCCCAGCCTTCACATAGCGCTTCCCGGGTGCTCGAGCCCACGGGGCGTGAGAAGAACCACACCGGGACTTGTGACATCTCTCTGCCTTTTTCGTGGTACTCTTTTTTTTTTCTCTGGTACCTTGTCTGTCTCTTCTTCCCTCCCCACCTCCCCTGTTGAAAATCCTGCTCAGGTTCAAAACTTGTCAGAATTACTCGATTGCCCACCATTTTGAGCTGTGAGCACTTGCTGAAGCCTGCCCGTGTCATAGTTACGTGTGTTAAAGGTCACACACACACAGTTGTGAGCAAGGACTTCATCTTCCTCCTCTTTAGTTTTCTCAGGGTGCCCCCCACACAGAAAACTAAATGTTTATTAATTAGAAAGCTTGTTTCCTCACTCCTAAGGAGTTTACGTATCATAGTAGCACCAGCAAAACCGTAACAGAGACTGCAGCTCCTTCATTGCTGCAAAGTCCATGTGTTCTAGCTGGTCAGAAAATGAGGAATCTTATAACTGGGGGGTGAGGGCATGCTCCCACAGTGTGCTGTTGTTACCTCTGTGATTACACTGAGTGTATTCTGTTGTGGTTTATGTTATCAGCCCAGCTTCACCTCTAGTCTCTTCCGTCTCCAAGGATAGAGGCCATGTAACTTCATGGCACTGTTTCTAGTGCCTGGCACAAAAGTGATCGTTTGTTGAATGAAGAGAAGGTAGTGATGGGCTGGTCTGTGAGTAGAGTATTCCTGAGATTGGGGACAGTGCAGATAGGAGATAGGGAACAAGTAGTGGCTTCACTTAGACTGACGTGTAGTTTGGATGGAGCAGTAGGAAGCAGTGAAAGGCTGCAGCTTGGGAAGCGGGCTCAGATGCTTCGACGGGGTCTGCTCAGTGGTGAGAAGCCGTGTCAGTGTTTGAGAACAGGTGTTGTGACTAGAGCTGTGCTTTAGGAGGGTGCGCTTGTGGACAGGTAGGCACGTAGACCGGAGAAAGGAGACGGTGTCAGTCATGAGTGTGGCTCTGTCAGTGACCCTGAGAGAGAAGGAAGGGGTTGACGACGGCAGTGAAGCCCGCCTTCAGAAATTCCCCACGAGAGCCCGTTGGCACACCTGCCCCTTCACTCTGTTGCCTTGCAGTAGTAAAGCGCAGCAGTTACCAGGTGTGTTGTGACAGTCATGCCTGACGATGGAGCGTTTTTATTAAGAAAAAGAACGTAGTTTTTGTAGCAAGACTTACATGCAAATAAAATGTGCTCCTTTTCCCCCGTGTCATAGTGGGCTCCCTTCAGAAGGGTAACTACTCCAGCCAGTCGGGGATGATCCCGGGCTCTTGGCAACATAAGATGAAGCTGCAGCTGATCCTCAAGTCCTCCAAGGCCTACTACGTTTTGTCTGACGCGGCTATGAGTCTTCAGAAATACGGGCGAGCGCTGCGGTACATTAAGTTGGCTTTGCAGAGCCACGGTAAGCCACCGTCATCGAGTATGTAGTCGGCACTGGGAGGGGAGAACAGAAAAGCTATCTGAACAGTGAGATTTTAGTTCTGTTTCTGTTGTGAAATTTTATTTCAAGACGGCTTTTTCCAATCTTGAGTATGTTACCTAGCATTTTATTTTCTTCTCTGAGTGGTTTAATATTTCTTCATCTTGAAGTATTTGAAGCCATCCATGTTATCCAACATAAGTTTAGAGTAGACACAGTGGTGCAAAGCTTCCAGCTGGTAACACGTTTTCTTAATATTTACTGTGTTCATTCGTTTTTAAAGCACTGGTGTTTTGTTTTCCCTCCTTCCCACCCTTTCCACATAGATACTTACTGCTGCCTCTGCACCAATATGCTGTCTGAAGTGCTGCTGTTTCTGTCTCAATATTTGACGCTCTGTGGTGATATCCAACTAATGCTGGCCCAGAATGCAAACAACAGAGCCGCGCACCTGGAAGAGTTTAATTACCAAACAAAAGAAGACCAGGAGATACTGCACAGTCTTCACAGAGAGTCCAGTTGTCAAGGTGGGCTAGTGGGGCGCCTCCGTTTATTCCCGTTAGGATTATTCAGTCCAGCGCGTGTTTGTCTGAACAGATCCAGAAAAGTGGCAGAAATCTTAGTGTTTGGATATTTGCTCGGTTTTATTTCATTCCTTTCTTAATTTTAAAATGGAACGTGATCCTGTGTATTTGTGTATAAAACGGTTTTGAAATATTTTATCATTGCAGTTAGAACTGACTATAAAATAAGCTCTGAAGACAGCCGGGTTGACTTGTTGCACTCTTCTTTACATGAGGTTTCCCTAGGTGGCCCTTTTAGCCAGCCAGCCACGCCACGGGTTTTCCTTTGGAAGGAAGAACACTTGGTGAAAGTGAAGGAGTTACCTTCTGAATGATTCCCGGGGCTAGGATAAAGAGATCATTGTGTTTTTAAAATTAGTTCACAGCGCTTACTGATTGCACCCCTCTGTCTTGGAGCTGTCAGATTCTAAGGCTGGGAAGTGGGGTGACTTAACCAGACCGTCGGTCTCAGCTCAGTGCAGTGACATCAGCGTGCTGTAGTTAGGGTAGTAAGCGGGGTGTGACGTCAGTCTGAAGGGGTTATGGGATTGTTTCACTGTGCTCTTGAATTGTTTGTGCCATTTGATATCCACCCCTAAGAAGTTTTAGACAATTAACAGCTAGAGGAGTACATTGCAGGGGGAAATGTATTACTTCCTAATTTTTTGGCCCCTTTCTTCTCCTTCTCCCCCTCTGTTTGTCTCAGTTGGTCATTTTATTTTAATGAATACAGCAGATAAATCCTCGGGGTGTTTTTACCACTTCCATCAGGTTAACTGCACTTAAAATCCGTCTTTGTGATAGTGACGGTCTCCTGCGTATTTAGCGTCCTCAGCGGGAGTGCTGCCTTTTCCCCTTGGATCGGGCCCTGTGCCTGAGTTGACTCCAGTCACCACTAGATGGCGGCTGCAGTAAGTCTTCCAGGGTTTACTCAGCAGAGCTACGGCTGCTAACCAAAAGACTGGCAGTTTGAAGCCACCAGGCGCTCCCTGGAAACCCTGTGGGGCAGTTCTACTCTGTCCTATAAGGTCACTATGAGTCGAAATTGACTCGACGGCAGTGGGTTTGGTTTTTGGTTGGGCTTCAGTGACTAAAACTTACGTTGGCAAATTATAGTGTACATAACTAGCCTCTGGGAGCCGTGAGAGCTTTATTTCAAAGAATGTTTATTTCCATCCATGAAAAGAAGACTTTCCCTTGTATGAGCGGGCAGCTTTAGGTCTGTACCAGTAAACAAGTCTGCCTTGTAGGGTCTTGGTGATGGGAATTGTTTCATGTTTATAGGGAAGAATATGTTTCTTTTAATCAAACATTAAGGCCCCAAGAAAATGTAGTATTTTATAAATAGACGTTTACTGTAAAAATTAAAAAGTTAGTTGTATTCATTGAATCTTAGTATGTTTACACTACATTATATTTTCTTGTTTGTGGCAAATATTTAGAATCTTTACAGTGAAACTTAGTTGTATTCATTAAATGCAGTATGTTTGCATTACATTACGTTTTCTGGGATTTTCTTGTTTAGTCTTAAAAATACCAGGTCTGCTTAGATACTGAGGAATAAGGAAGGGTACACGTTACTCACACTGATGTTTCTTATTTCCTTTTAAGGATTTGCCTGGGCGACCGATTTATCTACAGACTTAGAAAGTCAACTTTCAGTTAGTTGTAAATGTTACGAGGCTGCTAATGAAATCTTACAGTTTAGTGACTTAAAAAGCCAGAATCCAGAACACTACGTGCAGGTGTTGAAGAGAATGGGCAACATTAGAAATGAAATCGGTGTGTTTTATATGAATCAGGCTGCTGCATTACAGAGCGAGAGAGTAGGTGAGTACCTCTTTGGATTCCCCCTTATTTGGATTCCCCCTGAATTACCTAATCAATGAGAATAATGCTGATTTTATAGTGATTTGAGCACAGAGCCGTAACATTTGATTTTATGTCATAAAGGGGTGCTGTGTATTTTTGATTGTTAAATTCTCAAACAGTAGAGTTTGGAGAAACGTATTTTCCCTTGGAACCTGTCAGTTCAGTGTCCTGCATCCCCACGTATATTTCACTGCGTCTGAATTGGTTCAAAAGCCAGTGGGGCATGTGGTCGGCCTAGACGTGGTCTTCTGTCTCGTTTGGAAGCCAGAGATGAATACGTATCTCTGACAAATGCCACGGTAAAGTACAAGTGCAGTGCAGTGAAGAGCAGGGAAGGGCGTTATCGTGGGGTGGGGTCTCGGAGGCTCTTGGAAAGAAGGTGTGGTTTGAGCAGGGCAGTGTGATATGTAGAACTTCAGCAGCAAATGGGAGGGGAGGAGGGCTTTCCAGGCTGGTGGGCAGCAGAGGGAGGAGCCAGAGGTGTGCAGTCCAGTGGATGTTTACAGGAGTAGCAAGTGGTCTTGGTGATCCAGGCCGGGGGTGATGGATTCATTTGGGGCCATGTGTTGCGTTTGAGATACCTGTAGGATATCTGTGAAAAAGTCTAATTTAGTAGTCAGTTAGAAACGTGTGCGTAAAATTACTGGGGCTAGGTAGACACAGGTTGGGAACCTTTTACGTAAAGGTGATAGGTGAACCCAGGAGAATGGATGAAATGTAAAGGCTGAACACAGCGACAGAAAGGAAAAGGGCTGAGATAGGACTGAGGACAACAGGTAAATCCAGCAGATATTTGAGTGCCTACTGCTCCATGAACTGTGCCAGCTGGGGATGCAAACTTTGCCCCCCGAAGAGTTCATGGCTAGTGGGAGAACCTGCATTTCAGGGGTGTCTGAAGGAGGGAGAGTCAGTGAAGGAGGATGAGAAGTGGTGGTCAGAAACCTACGAGAATTAGATAAAACACAAATCGTCACCTCTTCAGTTGCCACGGGGAGCCCATCTTTTTAATCTTTACAGAATAGTCCTTTGTGCCGATGTTTTCATTTGCTCACTTTAATGTCAGTCAGTTTACATGGAGGGGGACCGCATGCGAATGGGTCAGAGCAGCGTGCTGCCGGTGATCCTGGACAGGCTTCCACTCCCCGGCAGGCCTCCGCTCCCCGGCAGGCCTCCACATCTGTCCCCTACTCTTGCCCGGAGAGATCGGTAGGTTTCATGCTGACATGTGCTTACAGGATTGTTTTCTTTCCTTCTTTCTTTGTGATTTTGCAAAGTGAGCAAGAGTGTGTCTGCTGCAGAGCAACATTTGTGGAAAAAAAGCTTTTCTTGTTTTGAAAAGGGAATTCACAACTTTGAGTCCATCGACGATGCTACAAACACCGCCCTTTTATTGTGCAACACGGGAAGGCTTATGCGAATTTGTGCGCAGGCGCACTGTGGGGCTGGGGATGAATTTAAACGGGAATTTTCACCGGAAGAAGGCTTGTACTATAATAAGGTAACACATGTAATTGTCATTTAACTTTGCCATTGCTCCTCTCAAATTACTGTAAAACTAAAATAATTAAGACTGTGGTGTTGGCACAGGAGTAGGCAGATCATTAGAACTCTGAGAAGCTGGCCTAAACTCAGTAGGAATTGAATTAGCGGGAACAGATGATTATTTCTGAAGTCGTGTTGGCGTAAGCGAAGTTCCTATCGAGTGTGTTAAAGGCGGGCGTGGGGGAAGGGAAACTAAAGCCCCAGAAGGAAATAGAGGAAGGGGTTCATCTGATGGGCTGGGAAAGGAAAGTCCCCAGCATGACTCCATAAGCAGAAGTCGCAGTGTAAAAGATGGATAACTTCAACTGTGTTATAAAAAAAAATAAAAAAAAAGTGTTTTAAATGCACATCAGAAAACATTATTGAAAAGCAAACTGCAGTCCCACAATTTAGGGAAAATATTTGTTATGTGCCTGAGAGATCAGAGGTTAATACGCTCTTAGTATATAAAGAACAGTTAATCATTGAAAATGAACTGGTCCACTAGAATAATAGGCAAATAACCTGAACAGAAAATTCACACGTGTAAACCAAGTTAAGGACTAATATATATGTAGGAATAATTGATATGAAATTTAAAACTTGAGTTTTATTGATCAAATTGCCAAATTTTTTTTTTGCCAAATGGTAACAGCCAGTGTTGGAGAGGGTGCAAGAAAGCAGGACACTTTATTTGATGAGTAGTTTGAAGCTATATAAAAGACACTGGTGAAAAGTGTTCTTGGCATAATCCACTGCCGTTGAGTCCAACTAATAATGACCCTGTAGGACGGAGTAGAATTGCCCCATAGGGTTTCCTAGGCTGTAATCTGTACAGAAGCAGACTGCCGCATCTTTCTCCCACGGAGCAGCTGGTAGGTTCGAACCACCAACCTTTTGGTGAGCGGTCAAGCGCTTAACGACTGCACAACCAGGGATCCTTTCCTGGCATAGTAAATGTAAAAAAAAAAAACAAGAACAAAACCACTGACTGTGTTTTTGTTTTTTTCTTTTTTAAGTTTATATATACATAGGAAAAAGAGTGGCTAAATACACACCAGCATTGTAGAAATGATTGCTGGGTGATGGAATGAGCTGTAATGGGTTTGTTTGTTCTATTAGTTAAATACAATGACAGTGTTTTTAAGGATGAGAGCGGCAGGGGCAGGGAGATTCATTTCTTCTCCTTGCTTTTTTAATTAAATAGTAAAATCTGGCAAATTAGTTATCCATAGACTTCTCAAATTATTATTTTCTAGTTTACTAGTTACAGAAACTGTACTTTTCATTTAGAAAGAAAACAACAAAGGGAAATGTGTGTCGTTAAGCACCAGCCCTCTCGGGAAGCCTTGCCTGGACTGGCTGCTCAGAGACTTGAGACAGGAGTTGGGGTGGGGGCTGGGGAGGTCCATCCATCTTAAATGACTTTTGTCATTAAAATATTTTCATTGCTTTGCTTTCTTCCTTTTCTCATAATATTGTCATTTTCTAAATTCTCCCAAATTATACCTGGGTTTTTATGAAGTATGTTTTGTTTTAATGCAATATTGGCAAACTTAGTCAGAAATACATGCTTTTTTCTCCCTTGCAGGCTGTTGATTACTATTTGAAAGCTCTCCGGTCACTGGGTGCCCGAGAAATGCACCCCACCGTGTGGGATTCGGTGAATTGGGAATTGTCCACTACTTATTTTACGATGGCAACTCTGCAGCAGGATTACGCTCCGCTGTCTAGAAAAGCTCAGGAGCAGGTACTGGTGTCTGTTGTTCTACAGTAGGGCTTCTGCTGTGTTTCTTCATCTGTTTAACATGCTGAGCATCTGTTAGCAGCTCTTCTTTGGAAGTAGTATTAAAACGTTTTAAAAAGCTCTTATAGTTAAGATTATGGAGCCCAAGTGGTGCAGTGGTAAAGAACTCAGGCTGTTACCAAAAGGTCAGCAGTTCGAATCCACCAGGCGCTCCTTGGAAACCCTCTGGGGCAGTTTACTCTATCCTATAGGGTCGCTACGAGTCGGAGTTGACGTGACGGCAGTGGGGTTACAGTTAAGATTATGGACCTTTTTTTCTTTCCCTCCTCAAAAAACCAAACAGATTGAAAAAGAAGTCAGCGAGGCAATGATGAAGTCCCTGAAGTACTGTGACGTGGACTCGGTGTCTGCTCGGCAGCCTCTCTGTCAGTACCGGGCTGCGACCATCCATCACAGGCTGGCTTCAATGTACCACAGCTGTCTACGGAACCAGGTATGGGCATTCCAGTGTGAATTCTGGGCCAAGTCAATTTCCACCTGCTGGGTGCTTTTCTTACATATCAGTATAGGTTTTAACCCTTTCGCTACCACATTTTTCCTCATTAATTTTTTTTTTTTTGGATGATATGTGTTTTCAGTATTGGAATGCATGCTTACTAATTGAGTGTGTTTATATTTGGTTGATAATGTGGATTTTGAGAAATATGATCTGACCATGCAATCCTCCAGTGAGGCGAGTGGCACTTGGGCACCACCGATCTGTGGCGTGACAGCGTGCTACTTAGGACTAAGTAGATAATTTACTGCAGGCGCTTTTCCATTAGGTTACATGGGGAAGCTCTGGTTTTCCAAATGTAACACAGAAAAACCAAAACAGACCCATCAGGGCTCCTTAACTATCACACAGGAAAGCCATAGTTATGCTTGCAAGGCTTATCTGACAGAAATAAAGGGAAAAAGGCAAAAGTTTACAAGACTAACACCTCCAGGAAGCATCATCTAATAGAATGCTCATCCTACTCAACAGTGAGGCTCCAATTCCAGTCTGCTGAGCTTCATGCTTTTCAAAAGGGACCCACTTTGACACTAAATGCATTAGAACTGGAATAACACCTTACCTCTGAGGTCCAGAGGTGTAAAAAGTGGCTGGCATATCATTTATGCCAATGGTAAGGAAAAAATGCCATCTACTTTAATTAGCTACCTTGGAAAAATTTGGAGTGTAGTGCCTAGCTCCCATCTGAAAGCAATTTTTATTGTGAAGTAGAGCATGCCTATAAAAACACATAGAAAATATACGTGAAGTATGTGTACACTTTAAAGAATAACAACTCAAACACCTATGTACACGGTTAAGGATGGGAGGGCACTTCAGAAACCTCCTGTGTGCCCCTCCCCGGCTGTATCTCCCTCTGTACCCACCCACAGTATCCCAGATTTTCTGTTAATCATGCCCATACCTGTTTTGGAGGAGCCTTGGTGGTACAGTGGCTAAGCATGCAGCTAACCAAAAGGTCAGCGGTTCAAACCCACCAGCATCTCCACGGGAGAAAGATGCAGCAGTCTGCTTCCGTAAAGATTACAGTCTTGGAAACCCTGTGGGGCAGTTCTGCTTTGTCCTACAGGGTTGCTATGAGTCGGAATCAGCTCGACAGCCGTGGGTATGGATGAGCTACCTGTTTTGTCTTCTGCCACTTCAGCAGTGTGTTTACGTTTTACCTGTCGTGATCTTTGTGAAAGGGATCACACTGTGTGCTTCTGTGGCTCACTGCCTTTCACTTAGCAGGATGTTTTTGAGAGGCATGCACGTTGGTGCCGGTAGCTGTTCGTTTTCTCAGCTGAACAGTATTCATTAAATGAATGTATCATAGTTCATCCATTCCGTGATCAATGGGCTTTTGGGTGGTTTCAGTGTGGCTGTTACAAATAATCTCCTGTGAACTGTCTTGTGTATGAATCCTGGTGTTCAAGTGCAGATGTTTCTCAGAATAACTAAGGCCTAGGATGAAGTGCCACGTTCACAGAGGCTGCTCGGATTCTGCCAGGAGTCTTGTGCTTACAGTTTCTTAGGAATGGTTTTCGTTTGCTTGCTTCTTTGTTTTCCCCTTTCTTAACTCAGTACCAAGCCAACTTATTCTTCAGTCCCGTAGACGTGGCTTTACTTCTGGGTGGCCCATCTCCTGAGAGGACTGTCCTTTGGGGTCCAGCCTGATCTGGAGAAGATTCTTTCCACTCTGAGCTGGCCCTTGGCTCTTTTTCTTCTTGCCACATGAGGCCCCCCAACCAAAGTTCAGGTTTGCCCCCATGGCCTAAGATGCTCAGGGCAAAAGCAAGTTCAAGGCGCCAAGACAGCTTACTAGGGGAAAGAACAATCTTGTCAGCAGATGGTGCTGGGATAGCTGGCTGCCCACACGCGAAACCTAGAGTTGGATTTCTGCCTCACAGCACGTACACAAATTAACTCAGGATGGATCGCAGACCTAAATGTTGGAGCTAAAACTCTAAGCCTTCTAGAAGAGAACACTGAAAAGCATTGAGTGATGCAGTCAGACGACTCGGTCAGGTAGTTACTGTGAGACCCGAGTCTTAAGATTTGTGTCTTTGTCTTTGGTTCTAGGTTGGTGACGAGCATCTGAGGAAGCAGCACCGAGTGCTGGCGGATCTTCATTACAGCAAAGCTGTAAAGCTTTTCCAGCTCCTGAAGGACGCTCCGTGTGAACTCCTTAGAGTACAGCTAGAAAGAGTAGCGTTTGCAGAATTTCAGATGACCAGTAAGTCTGACTTGTGTGTTTCTCAGATTTGTCTGCATTGGCTTAGTGTTGGCTTGTCTGGAGTGAGGCGGAGCTCTGCATCGCTCTTGGATGTAAGCAATATTTTTTTCTTTTTAATTTGCTTGTAGTTAATGACATTGGTTAGGGACCAGGAAAAGAGACGTTTTAGAGTCTCTGCCCTTTTTGAAGTGCTTTTTAAAACTTAAGAGAAATGCATTAGATTATGTTCAGTGACTGAAAATATTGAAATATACCCCTTGACCCTTATTTGCAAAAAAATGTTGATAGGTCAGCTTAGACAAGATTGAAATCAGAATGAAAAGCTTAGGCGCGGAGAAGCAGTGGTAAAGGAGTGGTGGTCATCACCCGGCCCATTTACACATGAGGGCTTAGTGGTCACCTCCCAGGAGCCGAGGGCAGAGGTGATCCTCTGGTGCTGACTTCCATGTACAGTGGGACGTAGGCTCCAGGAGAGCAGGAGCAGAGGTGCTTTGTAGTACCTGATAGCTGTCGAAAAGTTACTCAGAAGATCCCGGAATAAAATGAAACCCGATCATCTGGTTTGACCTGCCTTTGAACAGTTAGGTAATACACTGGCTTAACAGGTAGGACAGCTGACACTAAGCAGCTTGACCATCGTCACATAATTGGTCAATAGTGGGTGGCCTTCTAACCACAGACACCTCTGCTGGCCCCCTTTCCCATAACGCCTCAGATACTGACCCCTATTCTGAATATACTGCTCTCAGCCTGACAGAACCAAATGGGGAGGTCAGGAAGCAGGTATTACTTCCTGTTCTGCCTGGACTTAGTACTGTTCTCTGGGGGGAAGTTTCTAAACAGAAGTTAGATCTAGAAGATTTGTTGGGATTCTCATGAGCTACCTCTTGTTTCTTTGAAAACAAGAATTTTCATTAGTCCATTGACATTGGATGGGTTTCTAGAGTTATATTTAAAAGAATTGTCCTTTTTGTGTTCAATGCTTTAGGTCAGAATAGCAATGTTGGAAAATTAAAAACACTGTCTGGGGCCCTTGATATAATGGTGAGAACTAAGCATGCATTCCAGCTCATCAGAAAGGAGCTTATGGAGGAATTTGACCAGGTAAATGAAGAAAATACATATCTTTGATTTTTATGTATCTTAGCTAAATGTTGAATGTACATCGTGGGCATACCGTGTGTGTATACATACACACACACACGCTCTGCATAGAAATACATTGAAGTGTTAACAGTAATGTGGTAGATTTGCTTGGTGGAATTATTAAACTCTAATTTGCAAATGTATCGTTTATATTTTTAAAAAAAGATTTTTCAGTATGCCTTGACCTTTTTTTAAAAAAAAAAGTCCACAAACCATTAGTAGGGCACTGAGGGTATATCATCTCTGCCCTCTTTTATCACATCCACTAACCGTCCTGGGAGCAGTGCTGACAGGTGAGCGGCCGTGAGCAGGCCCCTCGGGAAGGCCGTTCTGGTTTGCCAGGTGTCCTGTCCAGCGCTCGCGCTGCCATCTGCTATTGCTGGACGTTTCTCCCCGTCTCCAGGGCGCTCCAGCCTCTTACTCTCCTAGCCCTGGTTTGAGCGAGTGTTAAACGTCTGCTAAACCTGTCTCCACGTTGCTCCCGTGACATCTCACGGTGGGAAGTTAGGAGACAGTCATTCAGGGTTAATTGATTGCACACAAGGACCTACCAGGAGTGAGACTTTCTCAGCGTGTGTTCTAATCTATCAGGATGATCTCACATTTGGTTTTTGTTTGGCTGGTTTTGGTTAAAAAGTTACTGGATTAGTGACCCTTTAGTATGAGACTGTAATTCCCAAGAAGCTGAGGTGAAATACTTGCTGGGTTTTTTAGCCTGAAAGTGATGGACCTCCCCCAGCTGCCGAGTCGTCTCGCGGTCTTGATCAGGAAGAAGTGACAAAGCTCCTCAGCATCTTTGAATCTCGCTTGTCATTCCTTCTCCTTCAGTCTGTCAAACTGCTCTCTTCAACTAAAAAGAAAACAAGGTAAGTAAAATTCCATTGCTTGTAGAAGTTCCTTCCAGCACCTTACCCGGAGAAAGCATACATGCGGCGTCCACTGACAGCACAAAAGCGTGGGTGTATTCTTTGTCTTTTCCGTGGGTGATCAGGATGTTCAGTGGTGCTCTGCCTTGAGAGTCAGTCCAGGGGGGCATCATCTCTGTGTAGACCACTGCCTTGAGAGTCAGTCCAG